GAAAGGGATGAAGGATTTGGGGGAGAGGGATTGGAGATGAGGGAATTGGAGGAGCGGGAAATAGGGAGAGGGGTTTGGGGGAGGGATTTGAGGGAGAGAGATTGGGGGAGCAGGAATTGGGTGATCAGGATTTGGGATCAGGATTTGGGGAGAGGAACTGGGGATCAGGATTTGGGGAGAGGGAATTGGGTGATCAGGATTTGGGGGAGAGGGATTTTGGGGATCAGGATTTGGGGAGAAGAATTTAGGGGAGAAGAATCGGGGGAAAGGGATGAAGGATTTGGGGGAGAGGGATTTGGGGATGAGGGATTTGGGGAGCAGGAATTGGGTGATCAGGATTTGGGGGAGAGGAATTTGGGATCAATATGTGGGGGAGAGGAATTGGGATCAGGATTTGGAGGAGAGGGATTTGGGATCAGGATTTAGGGGAGAGGGATTGGGTATCAGAATTTGGGGGAGAAGAATTTAGGGGAGAAGAATCGGGGGAAAGGGATGAAGGATTTGGGGGAGAGGGATTGGGGGATGAAGGATTTTGGGGAGAAGGATTTTGGGGAGAGGGATTTGGAGGAGAGGGATTTGGTCTGAGGGATTTAGGGATCAGGATTTGGGGAGAAGGATTTGGGGGATCAGGATTTGGGGATTGGGAATTGAGGGAGAGGGATTTAGGACAGGATTGTTTGGGCAGGATTTAGGAAGCGGAATTTGGGGGACAGGATTTGGAGGGCGGGATTTGGGGACAGGAATTGGGGAACAAGAACTGCGGGAGTGGATTGGGGAAGAAATTTGGGAAGCAGGATTTGAGGGGCAGGAATTGGGGGAGAGGATTTTGGGGAGGTGGGATTTGGGGTGCAGGAAATGGGGAGAAGGATTTGAGGGAAAGGATTCGAGGGGTGGGATTTGGGGACAAAACTTTGGGGTGGGATTTGGGGATAGGATTTTGGAGGAGCAGGATTTGGGGTCAAAATTTGGGGGGAGCAGGATTGTGGGAATGCAGGAATTGGGGGCTGGATTTGGGGGTGCAGGAATTGGGGATGGAATTTGAGGGACAGGATTTGGGGTCAGGATTTGGGGATTGGGAATTGGGGATGGAATTTGAGAGACAGGATTTGGGGTCAGGATTTGGGGATTGGGAATTGGGGATGGAATTTGAGGGACAGGATTCGAAGGAACAGGGATAGGGACAGGATTTGGGGTCAGGATTTG